GTGTGTGTGTGTGTGTGTGTGTGTGTGTGTGTGTGTGTGTGTGTGTGTGTGTGTGTGTTGGGAGAGATGCCCAACATCTCTAGAGAGGTAAAGGTTTGTAACCTTTAGAACAATTGCTATCCCCTGGGAAAGAGCAAAGAAAATCTCATTAGAATGCAGAAGACCGCGCGGCAGGTCTCCTGGGAACCACTTTACTGTACACCTTCATTCATCCCCAGAGCCAGCCTTTTCTCTGGGCAGCAGGTGTTATCTGAGGCCACGTTAGAACTTTTAGGTGTCTTGTTCCCTTTATGACTCCAACAAATAAGTTTTGATGGGGCGATGTCTGGAATAAAGGAGGCTAGGGGATTCTGGGACCCATCTGAGGTTTAGCAGAATACTAGGCAGGCAGAGGGGTGCACTTGTTATAAAGTTAGTTCTCTGCTTGTGCCGGTTTCTGCAGATCGCGGCTGCTTTGCCTGGATCGGTAGGATGTGGTGAAAGGATGGGGCTTTTCCCTCTGGAGATTCACAATGGCCAGAGAAGATTCCGTGAAGTGTTTGCGCTGCTTGCTCTACGCCCTCAACCTGCTCTTTTGGGTAAGCCTACAGTTCCACCGTCCCAGCAGGTGGGCATGGCTGAACTGTTTTCTGCCCCACCAGAGAAGGCGCCAAAGGGCATGGCCAAGCATTAATTAATGACGTGAGATCACATCCTCTGTTTTTCAGAGAAGTAAAATTTGACCTTCTTAAAATGCCTTTGATCTAGCTCAAGTTCCATGTGTAATTAGAAAAAAAGGCCGCTCCTGTATACATGCGCCAGTAACATTAGACATGAAGCTAATCTAAGGATATAAATAAATGCACCGTCTTGTACTGGTAGATAAGAGAATTATTGCATACTACCCGCGAACTGCTAGTTTGCAGAACTTTTAGATAACTGTGTAAGCCTTACATTTTTTTCTGTACGTCATAACTCTGCGCCTATATAAATTGGTTGCGGCAAATGGTGTTACTATGTCTTTAGAAGGATTCATACCTAGAGATTCTATCAAAAGTCTGAATAGGTTTATAAATGCCATACACTCTAAAAGGTGGTTTTCACATAACTATTGCTAAGTTGGGATGTTTGAGGAATTTCATGTATGCTTTTAGAAAAAAAATCAGTCATTTAAGAAAACAAAATACATAAAATTTAACAAGCCCATGAAAATGATTCTGTGTGAGTTAGTGACACTTGATGCTTACATAAGTGTTAATAGTGTATTCTTTATACTGCTTAGGAAGATATAAATATTACAACTGTGACTGCTACTTCAGAAGACTGTCGTGCTTAAGCAAATTCCCTTTTTGCCGCTTTTGTTTCCTTTCAGTAATTTATATTCACCATTTCCTGCTGGAAATTTTAGCACGCTGTTTATTTATTTCTCTGTCTGTCTGCCCTCTGCCTGGCATTGGCCAGTCCCTCTTTTCCCCCAGAAGCTATTATATCTGCCTCTAGAATATGGCATTTAAAAAAATGTTCTTTTAGGATTGACACCATCCTAAGATGACAAATTAAGTCGTTAATAAGTCATCTGAACAATATCCAAAAGGACAACTTTTAAAAAGTCGGGGCGAAAATTAGACACTGAGTAATTCCATTCGGCATTTGGAACTAGAAAATCACTAATTGTTCTTGTGTACTTTTCAGTTCTAAAAGGACACATTTTAACGAGGGTCACCAAATTACTGGTTTAGCTATTTGCTCTTAAGATTATGAACTCTGTTTCTCCTAAAATGTGTAATTATTACTCTTATTGCTAGGTTTTTGACTTGCCTACATTATGCTTTCGAGTGACAGATTTGTTACCGTTACAGTTCCTCACTAAGGGACCTTTATGGAAGGCCCGGTTGAACTTCCTTTCTTTGTAAATCAGGAAATTGAGAGCAACTTAAATGGCATGGCAGAGGTCAGCTATTCCGATGGTGGTGCCAGGGACAGGGCTGAGCTCCCTGGCACCTAGACGGTTAGCACGCAGGCGTTAATCACCTCTGAACCTCCCCATTAACAAGATCTTCTGTTTGTTGGTCTATAAAAAAAATAAAGCATTGGAGACATTTCTTATTTTCTTTTTCCAATTCGGGAAAATACCCAAATCATTCTGCAAAGGCATTGCTCTTCTGAATAATGAAATCTGCTTACCCCCACCCCCTTACCCGTTTGCAGGCCCCTTTATGCTACCAGGGACTTCAAAATGTTATTCTTTTACTGTTAGCCTGTCCTTCATCTTTCTGACTGTAAGAGTGTGTATGTTATGATTTGCGTGTTTATATAGATTGCTACCTGCTCTGTCTCCAGCCCTGTTCTCCCCACGCTGGTCTCTCCTCCGTAACAATCCAGCACGTGAGTTTTAGACAGAAGTGCCATTTACTTATGCTATCGAAATGTTCATATACGTTCATAATTTATTTTATTATCTTTGTAATTGTCGTAGACATGAGATTGTTTATACCAAAACACTTGTGATGAGAGCAAAGACAGAAATGCAGCTAACATTCGCAAAATACGAAAAATACAAAGTAGCTCCTATGTGGTTATTGTGTATTTGCCAGGTAAATTTAGTGCCTTGGCTTTCTATCTTTAAAATAGATAAAAGGGCCCCCGTATTTTTAGGGGTGTGCTGAGCATGCAGAACAGCGGCACTCAGTTTAGAAGCTGTGTGGCCAGTGCAGTTACCACAATCTTGCTAATCTCCTCAAGGAGACAAACAGGAAGTGGATTGCTACTCTTCCTGGTAGTAGGAATGGTGATTATTGTTGCCCTGATTAGAACTGCTGTTCCTGCCACCTCCAGCACGGTACTTTTGATCCAGGAACCTTGCTTCGGCATTCTAGCTCAGAAATAAAACCATCAGTAGACCTTATTCTTTCTACAAAAGTATCTGTTGCCACCTTGTTAGGAATACTGTGCTTTTCAATTTTGATCCATCTGAAAATTTCAAGTTTTGTAATTATTACTTCACTTTTTACTTCTTCCAATAACCGCAAGAATTGCCACCTGCATATCTGCTGGTATATAATTTTGGATGCACCTTCTCTCTTGTATTTATATTCATTACCTGCTGTGTTCTTATTGAGATTTCCCTCTTGCTTGTTGATTTTATCTGTTGATGCACAGTAGTGAAATCTTTCTATAGTTCCTTTACAAAATTTTTCTGTAGATGGGTTTATGTTCTCCTATAGTGCCAACACTTTCTTTTTCTTGGTGAAGGTTTCTTTTTCCTTATAGACTTTAAGAAGTTTTTTTTAAAGCGTGTATGATGTGTGTGGGGGGGGAGGGGCCTGACAGTGCTCTGGTCTGTGGGTGGACATCACAGGATGATTCTGTAGACCTTTCTTCCACCTGTATGTGGATTCAGTTGAACTCAGGTATTTAGAGGCTTGTGTGACAAGCCTTTTCTTACTGAAATATAGTGCAGGTCCCAAGGTTTTTTTTTTTTTTTATTTCACTCACTTAAAAATATCCATGGTGCCAGACATGATGGCTCATGCTTACAATCCTAGCAGGAAGGCTAACCCAGGAGGATTGCTGTGAATTCAAGTTCAGCCCACTTAGGTAATGAAGTCTAAGCCAGTTCTTGGGTACCAAATGAAGCTTTGTTCCAGAAATCAAAGCATATAGCAGATAAAACAATAACAACAACAACAAAAACTTATGACATATTTGTTAAAATCTTAAGAAATAATTATTCCTCCTTTGGGAAAGTTGGCAAAATCGTCTAGAGAGAAACCAAAGCAAAATATTGTCCTTTTCCGGCCAGCTCACTCTAGTGTTCATCACTGACCCATTCATGGGCTTCTTCCTTCCTTTCTTCCTCCCTCCCTTCTTTCTTCCCTCCCTCCCTCCTTCCCTCCCTTCCTTTCTTCCTCCCTTTCCTTCCTTCCTCTCTCTCTCTCTCTCTCTCTCTCTCTCTCTCCTTTTATTTTTCTTTTTAAATAAAGAAAGCAGTGCTCAGATGAATCCACTAACTCTCTAGGAAGCATCAGAACAGGACGTCCATGTCTAGCTTTGTTTATTTATCCATATGTAGAAAATAGGAAAGTTATCCTGCTGGGGACCACGCTGAATGTATCCGCAGTGATGTCAAGTGAACATCCTTGGAGGGGAAGGCTTTGCTATCCTCCTGCTCATTCCAAGCCCTCCAGACTTGCTTCTCAGGCCACGGACTCGAGCACGCTGCTAAATTTCAGGCTCAGCTTCCCTATGTGTACCTGTGTGTGTGTGTTCACACGTGTGTGCTGAAATTGACCTGAGGGCTTCGGACCAACAGGCGAGTACTCTGCCACCAAGTTAGAACGTTAGTGCTGGTCACGCTAATGGAGTTTCTCGGTCGCGTGATTGGTCTGAGTCATTCTCCTTCTTCGCCAGTCGGAACAAGTGCTGGCTTCTCGTTATCATTGGCATTACAAGAAAGGTACACAGATGTGGTATCTGCATCCCATTCCCTAAATCAGACTTCACATTCTGACTGTGGAATGGGGTTTATTCCTTTCTCTCTCTTGCGAGTTGACACACTTTTCCTTGATACCCAATAGGGCTCTAAAGAAGAACCTTCTACACTTCACATTGTAAATTGACATACTCATACTTTTTATGTAATATATTGGCACGAGTCCTCTTCGCCCTACACTGAGGGCTTTGTTGTTGTTGTTGTTGTTGTTGTTGTTGTTTGTTTTCTGCAGAAGAGAACAATACATCTTAATTGGAAAACATAGACATCCCATGTAATTTTTGTTTTGCTATCCTTGGAATCGAAAAATCTTTAAGGGAAAATGTAGCTCTTGAGTATTTACCTTTTGATAAGTGTGAGGTGTCACCGTGTTTAAGAGGAAGCAATCCACAGGTCCTCAGACCCCAGCGCTCTGTACTTCCTTCATTCCTGAGGAACTGTCACTTTGACTTGTCCTCTGTTGAGCGTCTTCCAAGTTATGAAGAAGTTTGACCCTGCCGCGGTTGCACAGGGACAAAGGACAGACTCTGGATGGCTCTGGTAGGTGCCTAGTATTTTATGGGTGTCGCACAGCTGTGTGGGGAGCTGCACAGAGGGAGTGACTGACACTGGATCTCTGCAGCTGAGAGCTCTCTGGAGATGATGCTGCTTACTGCCCAAGATGCCGGAGGGGTGGAGATTATTTTGATCTGAAGCATCACAGTCTTCCCGTTCAAAGGACACATCACTTAAAGAAATGAAAGCTTCCTTCTGTTTTAAGAATGAATTCTGTAACTTTCTGATTTGGGCATTATTCTTGTGGGATAGGTGCCTGTTATTATAAAGAGGAGTAAGTAGGATTTTTTTTTGAAAGTTCGTGAAAACGATAAACATTTTGTATTTGTTTGTAATTTTCTAAAAGCATGCTACCTTTCTGTAACACTTAGCTCCCCTTTCACTTATCATGTGTGTGTCATTGGTGTTTGCTTGCCATTTTAAAAGGTACGAAAGGTGGACTTTCCCTGATTCACCATGGAAAGAGACTAAAAAGTCTGAAAGATGAGCAGGAAATCTTGTTCATGATCTAGGGATGGGCCACGGATAGATGGAGTAAGAGGAGCCCCCGAA